TGTGTTTGGTGTGGGGGGGAGGTGTGTGTGGGGGGAGAGGTGGTTTTTGTTTTGAGAAAAATACCTGGAAAAATCTTTTTCTGTAGAATTATTTCCTAACAGTGAGATATATATAGCTGACAATATTTGTGGGTTTCATTTCAGCTACCGGTAAAGTAGGAATTGGTTCAAATAAAGCAATAGCATATAATTATAAGACTCATGGGAACCAGCAGTTAGCGTAATGGCTATGTCGCTGGACTCCCACGTAGTCGACCGCGGTTCGCGTCTTGGACCCGGTGGCTTATATCTCACGCCGGGCGCGTGTGCGTGCGTGCCCAAGATCCCGAGAGGAGAATGGAGGAGAAGGGATTGCGGCGTGACCATCCCCCCTGGGGGGGGATTTCTCGCTTTCTGTCTCTATGTCTCTCTCTGTCTGTCTGGCGAGCGCACGTGCCCTATAGCGAAAACCTCTCCCCCCCCCAAAAAAAAAAAAAAGACTCATATAATTATAAGACTCCCATCAGTGTTCATTTTTCTCTGGTTTTTGTGTCCTATTCTAAACTTTGTTTTCAATTTATATTTTGCTTTTTGTTAACTATTTTATATAAGATACTAATACAGTCTGTGGAATGTGATCAGGCAGGAATGGATGAGTATGTTCATTTTTTGCCTTCTCCTAGCTATGTATTTTTATTTAATTGCCAGAGGGCATGTATGCTTATTACAGATAAGAAAGAGAGAAAGCACCCCAGTGGGACATGGTCATGCCGTAATTCTATTTCCTTTTTCTCCATCCCATCAAGATTTTGAATGTACCTGTACATGTACCTGGTATATTTTTATTCCAAGTCTTAAGGATAACCATAGTTAGCTATGTGGGATCTGGTTGCCTGTGTACAGTGAGGAAGAGGTAGCCTGTCTTCTTTATTTCTTTAATAATTATTTATTTAAATTTTTTATTTGGGACCAGCAGTTAGCGTAATGGCTATGTCGCTGGACTCCCACGTAGTCGACTGCGGTTCG